GCCAACCTGGCAGCTAATTCCTACTGGACCTCCTGTTTTTTGTTTTTTAACTTTTTCTAAAAAAAAGTTCTTTAAAGGGTAAGGAGTGCTAGTCACTCAGCCATCTTTGCAAGGACCGGTACAAAATCAGAAATTTCTGGCTCTTGTTTAACCTGGGCATTGTGGTTTATGTGCTGTTGATTTACCAGATAAGTAATGGGTACTCATTCAGCTCAATTGAGTTTTTGACATAGCTATTGATTGGCATCATTTATCTGCTGTGCTCACACAAAAATCAGTAAAACACTATGTAGATTCCATTTGAGTGTTGCTTTTGAATGCAAAGATAATGAAACAGTATAGATTCACACCCTAGTTATCTGAAACGTGTTGTGTAGTAAGTAGTCTCTGGCATTAAGTGATTCAAAAAGATTTGTTCATGGAGAGAACCAATTTTGAAATTGATTTGATAAAGAGGTTTCATGATGTGTAATAAGATACATCCTTTTCCTTCTTTGCATTTTTCCCTGTGTCTTCATTTGAACACAGTGTAGGTAACTGGAAACTGCATTGCTTGGGAGTGTGTATCCTCTGCTCTTTCCAGTCGCAGTTGGCCTTGTTTGTTTTTAGCAATCTTGCCAACAAGCTAAATTGGCCGTATAATGCCATGGTGACACCCTATTCATTATGTGATCTCCATCTGGATCAATTACATTACCAAATAAGGGAGAAATGAATGCATTTTATGTTGGTTCTGAGTTAAACATTATGCAAATACCACTTCCAAATATTAAAAAAATATATTTAACAAATATACATTTGCACATTAGGTTGAATAATTTTCAATATATTAAACTGGAAGGAATGTCTAAATAGTGCACAAGAGTCTGGAAAAATCCCCATAAAATTAATTACATTTAGCTTCATAATGCTAATGTAAAGAACCATGGGTAATGAAGATGCAATTCATTTTTACATAATTTTTGCCTATTTTGCTTCTGAAAATTTTCACATTTTCATAGCTCAAGGTGGAATAGAATAGAATAGAATAGAATAGAATAGAATAGAATAGAATAGAATAGAATAGAGCTGGAAGGGACCTTGGAGGTGTTCTAGTCCAGCCCCCTGCTCCAACAGGAGAATCTATACCATTTCAGACAAGTGAATGTCTAGTATCTCTTCTTAAAAACCTCCAGTGATGGAGCGCCCACAATTTCTGAAGGCGAGCTTGTTCCACTGGTTAATTGTCCTCACTGTTAGGAAGTTTCTCCTTAATTCCAGGTTGCTTCTCTCTCTGATCAGTTCCCAACCATTGTTTCTTGTAGAGATATACTAAAATCTCTTAATGCTTTGAGGTTTTTCTCTACATGTTTTCAAACTATAAATACAGAATTCCAAGCATGTAATTATTTGTAAAAATAAACCTTGCTCAATAGTAGTAACTGTGAGAGGGATTTTGGAGTCCTAGTGGACAATCACTTAAATAGGAGCCAGCCGTGTGCTGCAGCTGCCAAAAAGGCCAACACAGTGCTGGGCTGCATTAACAGAGGGATAGAATCAAGATCACGTGAAGTATTAATACCACTTTACAAGGCCTTAGTAAGGCCACACTTGGAATACTGCATCCAGTTTTGGTCACCACGGTGTAAAAAAGATGCTGAGACTCTAGAAAGAGTACAGAGAAGAGCAACAAAGATGATTAGGGGACTGGAGGCTAAAACATACAAGGAACGGTTGCTGGAACTGGGTATGTCTAGTTTAACGAAGAGAAGGACGAGGGGGGACATGATAGCAGTGTTCCAATATCTCAGGGGCTGCCCCAAAGAAGAGGGAGTCAAGCTATTCTCCAAGGCGCCTGAAGGCAGGACGAGAAGCAACGGATGGAAACTGATCAAGGAGAGAAGCAACCTAGAACTAAGGAGAAACTTCCTGACAGTTAGAACAATTAACCAATGGAACAACCTGCCTCTAGAAGCGGTGAATGCTCCAACACTGGAAGTTTTTAAGAAGAGACTGGACAGCCATTGGTCTGAAATGGTGTAGGGTTCCTGCCTGAGCAGGGGGTTGGACTCGATGACCTCCAAGGTCCCTTCCAACTTTATTATTATTATTATTATTATTATTATTATTATTATTATTATTATTATTATTATTATTATTATATGCTGCAGAAGTTATCAAAAAGGAAATGATATGTATCAGATTGGAAGCTTTAGGAATAAGTGAATTTAAATGGATCAGAATTGACCACTTAAATTATATGATTACACGATACACTTATTAACAACACGAGTGCATATGAAGGCACAGAGTGGCAGTGATACTCAGAAAGGATATTGCTAAGTATGCGATTGGCCATAGTCCAATAAATGATAGTCTAGGAGAATTAGTGGCTATCCAGCAAACATCAACTTTGTGTGAGTGTATACAGTATATCTGTACTACAGATTCAGCATGAAAATCATTGGGGAATTCACTGGGAATTCCAAATCATGCCAAATGCTCCATCTAAAAAGGATATATTACTAATGGCTGATTGGAATGCAGAAGTTGAACTAATGGAGGAACCTGCAATTACAGGAAGATGTGAAACTTGGTAAATAATGCACGGGATAGGTTAGTAGAGTGTTGCAAAGATACTTGCTTATTCATTGCTAATACTTGTTTCAAAAACATAAATGCAGAATCTATTGTATGGATAGCTGTACCCGGCCACGCGTTGCTGTGGCTCAGTCTGGTAAAAGCGTGTGTTGCTTTTACGTCCAACAGATGGCGCTGTTTTTTAAAAAAAAGCATGTTTTTAACCTGTCACAGGTGTGACATCTATATAATATAGGTATATAAAAACACGTGCGTATTCGAATGCAACGTTGTGTCAAAATTTCAAAGCAATCGGTGAAGAACTTTCGGAGATTTAAGATTTTGAACAAACGAACATTTACATTTTTATTTATATAGATATATAGATATAGATATAGATGACACCAGAATCCAAGTGACTACATACTAAGAAAGTAAAGATGGAGAGCTGCAATCCAGTTAACCAGGATACTTCTAGATGTAGTTTGTAGGATAGAAAATAATGAATTATTGGCGTCAAAATATATTAACTAAATTTGAAAAATGGAAGACAGTAGATTTGACTTGGAAGTCATATTGCCAGAACATATGATCTGTTTATGTAATAGAAGTGAAAGAGAAATTGAGGAACATAGCAAGAGATGAAATCATTATGAAACATTAAGGGGGGAAAATCCCCAAATTCCAGAGAGGAAAAGATCCAAGTGACTTTCAAAATACTATCTATTGTGATACTCAAAAAAAGGCAGAAGATAAATAATAATAATAACAACAACCAACAAATTCAACATGTTAGTAACAACAACAAATGTCGTTATGCAATGAGAAAAATACACAATGTTTATTCTCTTGGAATAAAATTTTATCTTACAGAGGAACAGTTGATTCATACTTGACACTGAAGTGCAGGCCCTTATAGAAACAACTTTTTAAAAGTCTCCTTGTAGTTCTCATGATTTAAAAATGAATTAACTCATCATAAAATATTGTTTTGTATGATTCCTCAAAGAATGTTTTGAAAAAGATGATGGCTAGTTTATGTAGGTGTTATATGAACGTTTTTTTAACTCATGTGGTTGCCCTATAATAGTTGTAAAGTTCTTTATTCTAAAAGCAATAAGAACTTCACACAATATAGAATTTGAAGTGATTTTATTTCATTGGTACTTAAAATATATGGATCTCACTGAATACTCACAGTCTATTTATTTTGATGGTATTTTAGCTTTTTGTTATTTACCATTTAAAAAGAAAATAAAAAGCATGAAGGATCTGTGTGTCTGTGTCCATCTGTGTCCATGGCTAAATAAGAGCTGTAGTATTGAGGAGTGAAATTTAAGTTCTTTTAAATCTACTTTTTCCTGATCTACATTGCCCCTAGCAATGCTGTTTATAATATGGAGGTGGGGTTGGACTTTTGGAAAATGGCAACAAGGAAAAAAGACACTGTCAAGTGTCCAGCTAGCGAACCCAAGAAAGAACTCCTGGGACATTGTTCTTCCTGAAAGTAACACTTTTATTGAATACACTACATTGGCACAAAAGAAGCAAAACCAGCTCTGGATTTCCCGCTCAAAATTCACATGGTTAAACTTGAATTCCCCTTTGGCTGTTCCCCTCAGTCCATTGCATTGTCCAATCAAATACGCTCCTTTTGTTATGGGAACTGCCTGGATCGTTCAAACACCTGCCCAGCATGACCTTGAAGGGAGAATCAGGGTCTCACAGTCTGCAGATGGAGTCTTGGCAATCCATCCCCACCCCAGACATTACAACTACACCCCTTCCGAAAGCGAAGAAGAACTAGGTGAAAGAGCGAATCACTCTTGACACCAGTTCTCATCCTACTCTCCATGATTTACCTTCTTATTCTTAATTCCAATTTACCTGCCCCCTACATCTGAATGAGGATGCCCCAATTAATTTCAATCACGTATTAATCCATGAACTGTCTGGGTTGTCTAAGGCCAGGGGTAGGCAACTTTGGCTCTTTTATGACTCGTGGACTTCAACTCCCAGAATTCCTGAGCCAGCATGGCTCAGCTTGGAAACCTCTCCCTTTCCCCTCAGCATGGTTGGCTCAGGAATTCTGGGAGTTGAAGTCCACGAGTCATAAAAGAGCCAAGATTGCCTACCCCTGTCTTAAGCCAACCATCTTGTCTCAGGCTCATTCTCCACCTGCGAGGTGATGTTGCTCCATTGCCTCAGGAATCACCAAGGGCCTTTATGCACAACAGGTTTGCTATTGGGTCACTACAAATATTTTACTAGTATTTCAGTTACAATGTTAAGCATGGGAATTTGGAAAAGTAATTAATTCGGAGGAAGGGAAAATATCAGTTGAAGGTGCTGCACGCAAGCTTTTTTCCTGTTAAAGTTGAGGTACTTTTGAAAAATGTATACGTTGTCTCTTTCCTGATAGTCTTTGTCTTTCTTTGCAGTGCGGCTCCATGAGAGTATTTCCGAAGAAGGTTTCCATTACCTTGTATTTGATCTGTAAGTCTGCTTTATTTGATTTTGATCTTTGCTCCCCCTCCCCCTCTCCTTCCCTCTCCCTCCCTCCCTTCCTCTCTCCCTCCCTCCCTCTCCCTCCCTCTCTCCTTCCTTCCCTCCCTCTCTCNTGGAACTGGGTATGTCTAGTTTAACGAAGAGAAGGACGAGGGGGGACATGATAGCAGTGTTCCAATATCTCAGGGGCTGCCCCAAAGAAGAGGGAGTCAAGCTATTCTCCAAGGCGCCTGAAGGCAGGACGAGAAGCAACGGATGGAAACTGATCAAGGAGAGAAGCAACCTAGAACTAAGGAGAAACTTCCTGACAGTGAGAACAATTAACCAGTGGAACAACCTGCCTCCAGAAGCGGTGAATGCTCCAACACTGGAAGTTTTTAAGAAGAGACTGGACAGCCATTGGTCTGAAATGGTATAGGGTTTCCTGCCTGAGCAGGGGGTTGGACTCGATGACCTCCAAGGTCCCTTCCAACTTTATTATTATTATTATTATTATTATTATTATTATTATTATTATTATTATTATATGCTGCAGAAGTTATCAAAAAGGAAATGATATGTATCAGATTGGAAGCTTTAGGAATAAGTGAATTTAAATGGATCAGAATTGACCACTTAAATTATATGATTACACGATACACTTATTAACAACACGAGTGCATATGAAGGCACAGAGTGGCAGTGATACTCAGAAAGGATATTGCTAAGTATGCGATTGGCCATAGTCCAATAAATGATAGTCTAGGAGAATTAGTGGCTATCCAGCAAACATCAACTTTGTGTGAGTGTATACAGTATATCTGTACTACAGATTCAGCATGAAAATCATTGGGGAATTCACTGGCAATTCCAAATCATGCCAAATGCTCCATCTAAAAAGGATATATTACTAATGGCTGATTGGAATGCAGAAGTTGAACTAATGGAGGAACCTGCAATTACAGGAAGATGTGAAACTTGGTAAATAATGCACGGGATAGGTTAGTAGAGTGTTGCAAAGATACTTGCTTATTCATTGCTAATACTTGTTTCAAAAACATAAATGCAGAATCTATTGTATGGATAGCTGTACCCGGCCACGCGTTGCTGTGGTTCAGTCTGGTAAAAGCGTGTGTTGCTTTTACGTCCAACAGATGGCGCTGTTTTTCAAAAAAAGCATGTTTTTAACCTGTCACAGGTGTGACATCTATATAATATAGGTATATAAAAACACGCGCGTATTCGAATGCAACGTTGTGTCAAAATTTCAAAGCAATCGGTGAAGAACTTTCGGAGATTTAAGATTTTGAACAAACGAACATTTACATTTTTATTTATATAGATATATAGATATAGATATAGATGACACCAGAATCCAAGTGACTACATACTAAGAAAGTAAAGATGGAGAGCTGCAATCCAGTTAACCAGGATACTTCTAGATGTAGTTTGTAGGATAGAAAATAATGAATTATTGGCGTCAAAATATATTAACTAAATTTGAAAAATGGAAGACAGTAGATTTGACTTGGAAGTCATATTGCCAGAACATAGGATCTGTTTATGTAATAGAAGTGAAAGAGAAATTGAGGAAAATAGCAAGAGATGAAATCATTATGCAACATTAAGGGGGGAAAAATCCCCAAATTCCAGAGAGGAAAAGATCCAGGTGACTTTCAAAATACTATCTATTGTGATAATCAAAAAAAGGCAGAAGATAAATAATAATAATAACAACAACCAACAAATTCAACATGTTAGTAACAACAACAAATGTCGTTATGCAATGAGAAAAATACACAATGTTTATTCTCTTGGAATAAAATTTTATCTTACAGAGGAACAGTTGATTCATACGTGACACTGAAGTGCAGGCCCTTATAGAAAAAACTTTTTAAAAGTCTCCTTGTAGTTCTCATGATTTAAAAATGAATTAACTCATCATAAAATATTGTTTTGTATGATTCCTCAAAGAATGTTTTGAAAAAGATGATGGCTAGTTTATGTAGGTGTTATATGAACGTTTTTTTAACTCATGTGGTTGCCCTATAATACTTGTAAAGTTCTTTATTCTAAAAACAATAAGAACTTCACACAATATAGAATTTGAAGTGATTTTATTTCATTGGTACTTAAAGTATATGGATCTCACCGACTAGTCACAGTTTATTTATTTTGATGGTACTTTAGCTTTTTGTATTTTACCATTTAAAAAGAAAATAAAAAGCATGAAGGATCTGTGTGTCTGTGTGTGTCTGTGTCCATGGCTAAATTAGAGCTGTAGTATTGAGGAGTGAAATTTAAGTTATTTTAAATCTACTTTTTCCTGATTTACATTGCCCCTAGCACTGCTGTTTATAATATGGAGGTGGGGTTGGACTTTTGGAAAATGGCAGCAAGGAAAAAAGACACTGTCAAGTGTCCAGCTAGCGAATCCAAGAAAGGAACTCCTGGGACATGGTTCTTCCTGAAAGTAACACTTTTATTGAATACACTACATTGGCACAAAAGAAGCAAAACCAGCTCTGGATTTCCCACTCAAAATCCACATGGTTAAACTTGAATTCCCCTTTGGCTGTTCCCCTCAGTCCATTGCATTGTCCAATCGAATACGCTCCTTTTGTTATGGGAACTGCCTGGATCGTTCAAACACTTGCCCAGCATGGCCTTGAAGGGAGCATCAGGGTCTCACGGTCTGCAGACCGGAATCTTGGCATCCCCACCCCAGACATTACAACTACACCCCTCCCGAGAGCGAAGAAGAACTAGGTGAAAGAGCGAATCACTCTTGACACCAGTTCTCATCCTACTCTCCATGATTTACCTTCTTATTCTTAATTCCAATTTACCTGCCCCCTACATCTGAATGAGGATGCCTCAATTAATTTCAATCACGTATTAATCCATGAACTGTCTGGGTTGTCTTAGGCCAGGGGTAGGCCACCTTGGCTCTTTTATGACTCGCGGACTTCAACTCCCAGAATTCCTGAGCCAGCATGGCTCAGCTTGGAAACCTCTCCCTTTCCCCTCAGCATGGTTGGCTCAGGAATTCTGGGAGTTGAAGTCCACGAGTCATAAAAGAGCCAAGGTTGCCTACCCCTTTCTTAGGCCAACCATCTTGTCTCAGGCTCATTCTCCACCTGCAAGGTGATGTTGCTCCATTGCCTCAGGAATCACCAAGGGCCTTTATGCACAACAGGTTTGCTATTGCGTCACTACAAATATTTTACTGGTATTTCAGTTACAATGTTAAGCATGGGAATTTGGAAAAGTAATTAATTCGGAGGAAGGGAAAATATCAGTTGAAGGTGCTGCAAGCTTTTTTCCTGTTAAAGTTGAGGTACTTTTGAAAAATGTATACGTTGTCTCTTTCCTGATAGTCTTTGTCTTTCTTTGCAGTGCGGCTCCATGAGAGTATTTCCGAAGAAGGTTTCCATTACCTTGTATTTGATCTGTAAGTCTGCTTTATTTGATTTTGATCTTTGCTCCCTCTCCCTCCCTCCCTTCCTCTCTCCCTCCCTCTCTCCTTCCTTCCCTCCCTCTCTCCTTCCCTCCCTCCCTCTCTCTCTTCCTCCCTTTCTTTCTCCCTCTCCCCCTCTCTTTCTCCCTCCCTTCCTCTCTCCCTCTCCCTCTCTCTTTCCTTCCCTCCCTCTCTCTTTCTCCCTCTCTCTCTTTCTGTCCCTCCTTCTCTTTCTGTCTCTCCCTTTCCCTCTCTCCCTCCCTCCCTTCCTCTCTCCCTCTCCCTCTCCTTCCTTCCCCCCCGCTTCCCTCCCTCTCCCTCTTTCTCCCTCTCTCCTTCCCTCCCTGCCTCTCTCCCTCTCTCTTTCTCTTTTTCTTTCACCTCCTTAGTAGCCATATCTGCATGAAATTCAACTTAAGCAAACAAACAGAATTATGGCCCTAAATCCTGTGCAAGAAAATGCCTTTTTTTTTGTCAGGAGTTGTTAGTTAACTCCTGCCGGAGTTAAGACCAACTTGTAAATAATGAAGTTTATTTCAAACTACTTTCCTGTGTGCAGCTATTGGGTATTAGCTGAGAGAGGAGCAAGAAGTCTTGGGATCCCCAAAACAGAGAAGAGACTTCCTCCTGTTCAGTCAGCAGAGATCCTTCTACCGAGGCGGGATTTCTATTGGTTTCTTCCCAGTAAATTTGTAATGCTTGGGCTAAATTAGAAGTAGTACCACTCTGTGATTATTTGTAGTCTAGGCTGTGGGCCGTAGCTTTCTTTTATTGCCCTTGTTTCATTCTGCAACTCCACAGTTCAGGCCCTTGGCCTTGCAACAGGTGTGGGGGGGAAAGCTTAGGGATAGCTATTGGGTGCTGAACATATATGACTGAGGATTATTAGTCTTTAATTATCTCTTGTTTTGAAATTAAACCTTTTAAAGTTTTATTTAAGAAGCTGAGGGAGGGAGTTTCTCTTTTCCATTTGCCATTGAGTGTTAGTTTTTGACATCTGCTTCATCAAAGTGTGTCTTCTTAATTTCATGGATTATGTTTGATTCCAGGGTGACTGGCGGGGAGCTATTTGAAGATATTGTTGCCAGGGAATACTACAGTGAAGCCGATGCTAGGTAAGTTCTTACTTTTATTTTGTTTTAATTTATTTACGCTCCATATCCTAATGTCAATCCTGCCTCGACTTGGTCAGCATGTGATGGCAGCAGTTCTGACACCTGCGAAACATCATTTCTTGACAAAGTTTTACTGTAGCTGTTCATACAATTTAGGCATAATACTTGTGCAGTTTATAGCCTTTTTTAGACATTAGCTGCCACAATAAATTATTCTTAGGCCAAACTATATAAATACAGGGAGAGCAATTAAAATAATACAAAATCTGTTTAACAGGGTAGCTTTCGACAAATGAAAATGTGGCTAGGTGGTCTTTACTACTACTACTACTACTACTACTACTACTAATAATAATAATAATAATAATAATAATAATAACAACAACAACAAAGTTGGAAGGGACCTTGGAGGTCATCTAGTCCAACCCCCTGCTCAGGCAGGAAACCCTATACCATTTCGGACAAATGGCTGTCCAGTCTCTTCTTAAAAACTTCCAGTGTTGGAGCATTCACAACCTCTGGAGGCAGGTTGTTCCACTGGTTAATTGTTCTAACTGTCAGGAAGTTTCTCCTTAGTTCTAGATTGCTTCTCTCCTTAATTAGTTTCCATCTTGACTATGTTACTTGGCGTTCAAGTACTTTAAGGCGTAGTATAATAAATTTGCCCTTCAATTGCCCGTGCTGCTAAATTCTTGTTTTTTAAAAAAAGCTCTTTATCTATTTCCCTGTTGCAAAGCAGGGTAGTCTGTACCATCTTACCGAACAGAACAGTAAATCACTGTAACTTGCATTTAAATGCATTGTTGTCGATATTGATAGGGAAGATTATGGATAGGTTTTGTCGGAGATTCATCACATTTATGCTCTGCTTCTCTTCTGGGACCTTAAAACAGCTTATTGGATACACCCCTGATAGCTGAGGGATGGTAGTAGTGGAACAAAATTAAACCCTGGTTCTCTTTACATCCTGTAGGTAGCACCTTGGTTTCACAGATACACTCTCTACTTATCCTTCCCCTTTTAAAAGATAGCATTATCAGATCTTTATTACTACTGTTTGGTTAGGAGCAGCTCAACAGTAAAGACAACTTTATTTTTAATCTGTTACTTTTGTCATGAGTACAATCTATTCATGACGTGTGTGTGGTTTTTTTACTATGCCCTTATAAGATTTTTTCTCTCTAATATAATCTTCCTCTCCACCATCCTTTATAACTGGCAAATGCAAAGTAAGCTCAGGTCATATCCGTTGCAGTCGTTCTATGTGAGTAATTCTTATTTTTCCCTGTGTAAATAATGGCTGCGTAAATATATAATGATTCCTCTTATGATACTATGCATCTGATATAGACTTAATCTACAAATATTCAGAGTGCAACATCCGGTTATAAACTCTTTAGTCTTTCGGGTGTCACGAGGCTCTTGTATTGGTTTCTGCAGAGTAAAAATAGCTAGAAATTGCTGTCTGGTTTATGTTTGGGAGAACTTGTGTTTCTAGAAGATCACATCGGCAGCTAAATCTTGACTTTGCTGCATTCCCCTTGTTATTTTTTGCTTGCTCCTTGCAATGAAGTGAGAGTGCTATGGTTAAGACACTGGCAGGCAGATGCCAAGGCCAAGTGGCGCTTGGCGGCTGCCCCATATCAGGGTAGTAAGTTGTTTGGGGACGCCTTATCGCCTTTTCTATCCAAAAACAAGGATAAGAAAAAGATCTTGGCACACATCACCAAACGATCGGACAGGCGTCCTACCTACAATCGTAGGCAGTCCTTTCGTCCGTTTGCCACCCCTCAGACCACACAGCCAGCCCGGAGCTTCACTCCTAGACAGGACCGCCAGGCAGACAGGCCCGCCCAGCGACCCAGACAGCATTTCCAGTCTAAACGGCCCTTTCAAGGCAGGGGTCGTCCCTTCCGTAAGAAGTGACCCTCAGCCGGATCCTCCCATAGGGGGAAGGTTGTCCCTCTTCCTCACTCAATGGGAGGCCACCACCACAGATGCCTGGGTTCTGGACACCATCAGACACGGCCTCTCCCTGGAATTCATTTCCAGTCCCCCAAGCGGTTCATTGCTTGCCCACACTCAAGAAAGTCTCTACGCAGGGACCTCATGCAGGAGGCCATCAGGCACCTCTTAGACATCAGAGCCATAGAGCACGTGCCTGCGGCCCAACAGGGACTAGGATTCTACTCCATCCTCTTTGTGGTCCCAAAGACATCAGGAGGATGGAGGGCTATCTTAGATCTAAAACGCCTGAACCTTTATTTGGCATACCGAAGGTTCAAAATGCAAACACTTCAGTCTATCCTGGGCAGCATCCGAAAGGGGGACTACCTCACATCGGTGGACCTCACAGAGGCCTACCTCCATATTCCCATTACGGGAAATGGAGTTCCCGAAAGTTCACTCACTTTTTGCCATTTTTGGCCTGAAAGGCCTTGCTAAATGCTTGGCTCTGTTCTAGTTAGACAGTGTGTGTCTGATTCTTGCTCTCCACCCAGCTTCCCATTCTGGGATTGGCGCATAATTGCACAGCCTTCCAGAATACTTCACCCTGCCAGCACCTTTGGCATGTACCTGCTGAGGATATGTTGAGATGCCTTGCTGTTTCCCAGAGCAAGCCTC